GAAAAAAGAAAGGAAAAAACAATCCCGTTGGGTACAGTTTACATTCAAAAGAGCATTATCAAAACATTTTCCAGTTGAGACACGAAAATAGAAAGCAGCGGAAGAATTCTGCTCCCACCTCTGAGGAGACGTGGGGAGAATTTACGGAGCACAGAAGGGTTTTCTCCGAGGATATAATTATACCCTTTTGTTGCGTGTGTTTTTTTTTGTTTTTTTTGTTTTTTTATGTGAATTAATATTTTCTAAGGGCTGCTTTGAGATGATTAATTATCCCAAGTCTGCTCGGAACGCTCGGAAACGGCAAAAACAAAAGGGTTTTCTTTAGGAGGAGAAGAACAGCTCCGGGAACTTAACAATTGCGAAGGGCAGAAAAAAGGGTCGGGCAAAGGATGGGCAGCGCCGTGGCGGAGCGCTGCCCGGGATGGGATGGGATGGCACAGCCGGGGAGGTCGCCGCCAACCGGGGCACAAAGGAATGTCTTCATTTTGGCTGCGACCGGGTTTTTCTTTTTGTGCGCGTTTCTGGGAGTGCTGGCGTTGTGCGTGACCCCGGTGGGCGTTGGGGTCAGGCGGGGTGGCCGCGTCCTCGTGGGGCGTCTGTAGGGGTTTTTGTGGGGGGTTTCTATGGGGTCCGCGCGGCCGCCCCCCGGGGAGGTCCCTGCGCGCAGCCAGGGATGCGGCCGGAGGGGATGTGCGGGAGCTGCGCTCGCCTGGTGGCTGCGTGCGTTTGAGATGAAGACGGGAACCGTTGTCGGCGGACGTGGGAACCATTACGCCTTGGGGGAGCGGCGCTCCATCACTGCTGCCGTCCCCCCGACGCTCCCGGAACGGACGCCCCCGAGTGCGCGGCGTCACGACCCGAGGTTTGCCGGCCCGCAATGGGGATCAGATGTTTGCGCCGGCTCTGCTCTGTGACTCAGAGCCGTGAAAAACCCAGAATTGCGCGGACGTGAAATTCCTCCGCTCTGTGGTTGGAAAGTCTCTGGGACGGATCTCCGAGCCGGGGGTGGGGGGTGGGATCGGCCTTCCTGGGGCGACGGCTGTGCTCCCACGGCCGCCCCTCTGTGCGGCTCTGGGAAGGGCTGCGTGTGCTGCGTTAGCCACCAATAATTCCTTTATGCTGAGTAAAACTTAAGCCCTCATCTCACTGGAGTCATTACTGCGATATATATATATATTTTTTTCCCTGCTCAAAGAAAGATCTTGGATGTTGAACACAGGCATCTTTGTCTTCCTCAAAACTGCTTTATTATGATGTGTACAGATCCTGGCTTTGTGTGTGTGTGGTGTGTGGGGTGGCTCCCCCCCCCCCTTTTAATTTTTAGACAAATGACAAAAGCATGCAGGAAAGGAATGCAGAAATGCCAGGCTTAATATAAAGCATGCGGCTGCGCTGCATGCCGGGAATCCTAAAGGATACAAAACCTTTAACGGTGGCGGTTAATTTTTAACAAGTTCCCTCGCATAAATATTTATGAACAAAAGTTTTACACCATTATCTCTGGGGTTCTTGGAGAGAGAAAAGACCTTTGGTGGATTTTGACAGTGGGCCATTATCCAGCATAACAAATCCACGCTCCCAGCCGCCGCTTCCTAATATAGTAGAACGCGGCGTGCCCTTGAGCCGTGGCGGCTGCGTATGGGTGGGCGAGGGGCTGGGGGGGCAGGGGGGAGCACTCCTCTGTATGGCTGTGATGGTTACGGCCGGAGCATCGGTGCTCGGCGAGGTGGGTGCGATGCCCCTGTGATGCGCTGGGGGTGAGGAGTTCAGATTTTGGAGCAGTTTCCTCCCCGCTTTCGGTTTTTGGGAAGGTTGGTTGATGTATGAGTCGTTTACTAATTAATTCATTGGTTTTCAGGTGTTTATTTTATCCTACCACGTGGCTTAAAAATATTCTAGACCGCATAAAAGGGGTTGGCAGGGCTTCACCCGTCCCATCGCAACAAGCGCTTTGCATATATATTGTGCTCTTTACATTTCTAATTATTTTTTGTTAACTTGCCTAATTACGACGGCGGATTGCTGGGCATTAAATCTTACAGTTTGCTTATAGCTGCTCCCTCATAAGTGAGGTATTTCTTGAGCGCAGTCTGGGCTATATTACAGAAGGAGGAATGGAAAACAGTAGAGGTTCCTGCGGGGAGGGCTGGGGATGCTCTGGCAGCTGGAATTGTAACTTGGTGTTGGGTTTATTTGTTTGGCTTTGAAACATATAAACAGACCCTCTGAAGCTGGGATGTCCTCCTCCCTTCAGGCAAAAGGATGCTGGGCTGAGGGAAGGGTAAGAACGTAAAAGGTGAGAAAGGAAATATTTAGTTGTGGCTTTGAAGCATAAACAGGCCTGAGGTGTTCGCTGGGAGGAAGGCACGGGGGTGGGATGTGGGACAGGAGCTTACCTGTGCCAGGCAGGGGCTGTCTGCTGGTATGGCAGACCTGGATTTTGGCCACGCAGAGGAGGTGTCTCATGGGTGATAATGAGCTGTGCTGCACACGTGTGTCTGTGTGCCGTGCTCCTGAAGCTTAGCGTGAGGTGGCACACCTTGCAGTCGTTGGGTGCTCGCTGTGGTGTGGGCGCTCTGTGGCTGTTCCTTCTGACCTCGGATCCAACTTTGGGCAGGCTTTGGTGAGCTGCCTCATCCCAGCACTGCACTGTAAGAGCATTGGCTTTCTGTCTCAAGCTCTTAGGCTTAGGATTTTGTGCAGGATTGGGGTTAGCCCTGGTAAAACGCTGTGGTTCCAGTAATGCACAAATTAATGAAATGTTGTGTTCTGGGCACGTGCTGCCAGTTGTTTTTTTTTTTTTCCCCCCCACTTTATTTATTTATTTATTGCTGGTTTTGTTCAAAGCAAAGCCCCAGATGTGCTTAGGAGGTGATGTGCTGTGATGCCAGCTTGTGGGCAGCACGGCGATGCATCAGCCTGGCTATTGATGCCTGGAGATGGGCAGCACTGACGCTCCATCCCTGTGCCCTGCTTGGGGACCTCTGCAAGGACAGAACGGCTGCTTCCCCTGCAAGCCCAGGCCTTCCTCCTGCTGGGACACAATGACAGCCACCGCTGCTGTGCTCCCCATTGAATCTCTGCTGCTCAGCTCCCTTGATGAAGATGAGAGCCCTGTCAGGGGAGTGGCAGGGCAACAAATGGGTCCCTGAGATAAACACTATTTGCATGAATGAGTGACAGTGGCTTTGGATGTCAAGTTAAAAGGAGCAGATCTGGAGAATGAAAAATTAATATTTTTTTTTTGTCTTCCATTGGCTGGTTCTCATCGCTTTCGATTTTCCTTCTGATGATAAGGAATGCTTTAAATTTTTTTTAAAGCCGGTCGTGTTTATTTTGGTAACAGTTCACCCACTGCTCTGTGTACAGCAGCTTTCTCTTGAAAGCACTGAAACTATATTAAAAGTGCTTTTGGCTGTCATCTTTTATTTCTCTTCTCCTTCATTCTTTTCCCAAAGCTGGGCCGTTGCTGTATCAAATACCCCAGCACTGTCTGGCAGCGTTTTCCCTGCGGTGCTCGGTCTAAACTGGAAAGAAAAACGGGCAGTGATGGCAGGATTTGGATTTCTGTGGCTTTTTGTGCTCGCGTCCCATTGAAGCCCGAGCAGCTGCCCCAACCCGCACTGCTTTATCCTTTGGAGGCAGCTCCCACGTGGAGCTGCCCTGGGCTCTGTCAATGACCCACAGAGCCGTGGGGTTTCCATGCTGAAATGTCCCATTGGTGCTGGGACCGCACATTGGAAAAGTACACTGCGAGCGTCGAGCATCTGTCTGCGAAGGGGGAGGAAATCCACCCCTCCCTTTCTTATTTTCTCCCAATTGTCCTTGCGTGGTGTGGCATTGGCTATTATGGGTTTGTAAAATAGAACTATATGTGACCTTTTTATCTTACAAGAAATAGGTTAAGCCATTTTTAAAGAAAGTGGTGGAGTCAGCAGTGCTGCTGGAGGAGCCGCTTTCGCATGGTTGATGGGCTGTGAAGCCGCTCAATGGACTTTGGTTTCAGAGACAATATCTGTTTAAATTAATCTTTGTCAGATACATGCCACTGCAGACAATTCAAATTCCATTTGCTTTCTGATCTCATAACAAAAAAGCACCTTACACTGGTTCTTTTATCGTAAAATTAACTTTTGTCTGTGTGTCCTGGAAACAGGGGTGGCATAAAATCTAGTTAAAAGGCTCTGTTATAGGAGGATTCTGTTTCTTTGTACAAGGCGGACTTTTTTTTTCTTCTTTTTTTTTTTTTTTTCCCTGTGTGCATTTAAAAAGAAGAAGAGTGTTTGAGATGGATTAGAGAGAATGCCAGCAGATGGACTGATTCTGTTGTTGCTGCTGGCAACCATCTAAGCAGCCATTTTGAACAATGCTGATACCGGGGTACTGATAACACAAAGATGAGGATGGGATAAATATCCCGCGAGTCCCTCGCTCCCCGCCT